AGTCAGGTTTGGTTCCGTAGAGTTTTAAAATTGATTTGGTTATCAATTCGATTCGGTTCGTTTTTTATTTTTTTTAAACATTCAAAAAGAACTGAAACTAACCAAAAACCAAATCAAATTTGACTGAAAAAACAAAAATAATCGAAATTAATAGAAATAACCAAATTTAAACAAAAATCTGATATTTTTAAAATATATACCGAAAGTAATGAAAAACCAAAATAATCAGTTATTTCCAAAATAAACTGAAACAAAAAATAATCGATAACCAAACCGAAGCAAAATTTAATTTGGTTAATTTCAAAAATGATTTTCAAAATTTTGGTTAACCGATCGGAAAACCGAACTCGCAGGACTAATACTCTATATCAGACCAAGGTGTTGATAAACTGGTTTCATAAAAGCCAATTAATTAAATGTTTGGACTGAACAATACATAAGAAAAATTCCTTTCTGATCCACTCTTTTACCGGATACAGAAATGACAAATATTAAAAGTGATGACTTGCAATCGAAAAGGGGATTAGAGTTTTGGTTGATCTCAAACTTTCTTTGACTCTACACATATGATTTCTTGTTTAAATCTACATTATTTGTGCTTACGATTGCGTTTCTATTAACTCATATTTATTTTGTCATTGTTTTAATTTGGCGCAAGCTTTCTTTGAAAACATGAACTTCGATCAATTGAGAGAAGATTCTGACTGTAATACATCAACAAGATCTGTGTATTCCGCGGGATGAACTTTATGTATACAAATGATTTTTCTATATTTTGATTTATTTTATGGTCAGTTACATATTATGAAATAATAAATATATTGAATAACTGAGAACAAAATATATATTATGTACATAGTTAAACAGAAATAAGCGCATAAATCAAAGTAAATAAATCAAATCAGTCATTTAATTAATGTTTGTTTGGTTTTATATGATATAACAAAGTATATATGTATTTTATATGATATATAGTTTAAGTTAAACAATATTCTAGTATGTATTCAATCTTATTAAATGAAATTCATATTCATATGATTTTATAATTATTTGTATCTTTTTATAACAATAAAGTAAAACATTTGTTCATAAATTTTTACTGTATAGTTTGAACAGTTTTAGTAATTTGTAGCCATTTTAAGAAAATCAAAATATAACAGATAAGAAAAAAAAATCTAGATTTTTTTTTATTATATGGTTAATATGATTGTTTAATTTTTTAATAATATAAATTAAACAAAAGGATGGAGGATATAAAAACTACTCTCAAATTTTTATTCTTCAAAATCATTAATAGCCATATATATATTAATTATATTAGGAAATTCCGTAGATTTTATTTAAGGAAATAATGAAGAATATTGTTTTATGCAATACTAATCAATTTAATAGTTAATTTAATAAAAAGTATAATTTATATTTAGATGGACCAATCTATTTTCTCTAAGGATTATGAGAATCATCTTAATGATGACATGTGGTTACACTTAAAGGTTCTAATATTCCAAAATTAATATATAGAGGATTTATAGATTCTTTATATAAACTCACTAACAAAAAGAAAAACAGAAAGGAGTAATTATCCATATCTTTCCAGAAGTTCCCAGAACGATAGTAGAACCAGAAATCTATACACTTACCCAGTTATGATTTAACATTACTCTCTCCACCTATCCGCATGATTCAACCATCATAATATATTCCAATCCATATTAGTAGTCATAAGATTCACAAAATCAGAGATCGCGCAAAAACACATAGAATTACATAATCTCCTTTTTCAATGCTAAGGGTGTTTTTTTACGCAAGCTACGACGACGATAAGCTTTGTGAAGGAAACACATAAAAGTTTAATGTAATGATTAGATAAAACTATAGCTGTCAAAAGAAAGATTTGGTAAAACTATGTTAAAACTAATGATTAGATATAAGTTTAATCTATATGATTAGATAAAACTATTGCTGTCAAAAGAAAGATTAGGTAAAACTATGTTAAAACTAAAATAATATTAATGAAATCATTAGAACTAGAAATACATAGATTAAAATTTTGAAGATATGATCAATTATAAAATTGTATAAGAAGCATGTCTTTATATCTAGTCACAACATCTCAATATGTCCAAATTAAAAACATACCAAGATAAAATTTAAATAGAATCCTAAACTAATAGGTTAGAAATATCTCATATTATCATTAACTAAGCTATTCCAGTCCCGCTAAAAGTGGACCGTTAAGTTTCTTAAGTTACAATTAACGATTTGATTTTTAATCTCGGCTAGAATGACTTATTTAAGCATATATGTTTTGAATAAGTAAATATTTAGTATTTATATATCATTTATTTATAAATTGATGTAAATTATTTTCATCACCACTTTAGAATGATTTATTTAAGTCATGCAAAAAAGTTATAACTAATGCAAAATATAAAACTATGATGCTAGAAAACTCTTTTTGTAGTGGTATGGTCATCAAGCATCGACTCGAGGAAGGGTTCGCTGGACTCATCGCTGTGTCGAATAAAGGAGAGGTGGTTAGTGGTTTTAACTCTAATGGGATGTTTAACAGAGGATGGGTTCATGGAGGTTGCTATGTGGGAGTGAGAAAGCTCTTGAGTTCCGTTACTACTGTGTGGTTACGATTTGTGAGTTTAATGTTTATGATTTGTCTCTGCTTCATTGGTAATAACAATTCAGCTCAAGAGTGGTAGTAACTTACATGAATCCAACCTTCATGTACTTGTGGAGGCAGTCTCTGAAAGTTTCAAGCACTGCTCGTTCCTGCACCATGTATACATCTCTTTCGTTGAAACTTGTCTTGGTTTGGGAATCCACCTCTCCATTGTATTGAGCATCAATAAGCTGGATCAATCTTCCACATGATTGTATATCTTCTTCTTCCACAATACAGCTCTCAGACTCATCCCATAGTTCAATGTCTTCCTTATCATCAGGCTTTATGCATATGATGTTCTTGTCTTCTAAACCAAGCAAAGAATGAATGGTAGATCTATTACAAAGCTGAGTTTCTATAAGACAGTTGTTACCTGCATTGACTGTAGCAGATTCAGATGCTGCTAAGAGAAGCGATCTTAGATCTCCCAAGTCTGGAACAAGTTTGTTGGTATATCCTAGCCGTGACCTTTTCTTTCTGATGTCACAACAAAATGCAGTTGACTATAAGGTAAAAAGGACAAGGATATATATCATGTAGGAAAAGGCTAGAAGCGTACCGGTAAGGGAGTTTAGGAGAGCTATAGATAGGGGACTCAAGAGAATCTAGAATGTAATTGTCAGGCATTGAACTTAAAGGAGCTGGACAAGAATTCCACTGCTATTCCATAAAAAAATGAAAAATGAGTATGTGGATAGAAAACCTAACAGTGAATACATTCTGAAACAGGTTATAGTATAGTTCACTTGCGTCAGTTACCTCTTTGTATCTTCTCATCCGGTATACCTGTAGAGAACTCTGAGCAGAATTGATTCCTAGAGCATTGACATTCTCGCAGTTGATGCATTTACAGTTATCAGAACACAGAGCATTAGCCTGAAAGCATTCACAGTACTTCTTCAAGCACTTTGTTCTTTTGCATTTACAGCCTCTCGAAAGCAGTCCAGGTTTAGTATCAGTTGCAGACTTACACTAAAATACAGAGCACAGATCATTCAGTTATCGTTTTGTGGGTTAAGCTACAGTTTTTTTTTCCATCAATCTCACAAAGTGGTAGAGGATTTGAAGAACACACCTGATTATCAGTTAGGAAGCTGGGAGACTTTCCATTGAATGCATTTGGATTGCGATCTAGCACATTCAAAACAGCTTCTTCTCTGAGATAAGAGTTGTCAGTATTGTTATGACAATCAGCACAATCACATTCGTTACATAACTCTCCTGACGCAAAGCAGTCACAGTACCTATTAATAACAAATCAATCAGTGTTGTACGCCAAAGGTAAGTGTAATCTAAACATGAAGCTTAACAACACAAAGACTAGTTTCATTGATATGCTAAAGAGATTAATTATTTGAAACAATCTTACAATTTTAAACATTTAGACTGCTTGCAGCCACATCCTCTCTGCTTCCTCCATGTAATGCCTTCCTCATCTGAAGGATCTCTGCTTCAAAATTATTAGAGAATGATCAACTTAGTTCTTATAGATAATGATCTAACAACTTCTGGATCGAAGAAGTTAAATGACACGAACCGAGAGATCGGAGGGAAGAGAGGAAGTTCTCTGGGAGGAGAGTCAGAGTCAGAGACGAGGAGAGATGACTCTAATTTGGTGAAAAAGAGCTCCCTAGGGTTCGTCTCTGACGCGGTGGCGCCGGAATCTGTGTTAGGTGTACGCATAGTCGCCGGAGAAGTTAAACAATCGATTTGGCTGTGTGACGATTTGAGGATGATTCGGCGAGAGAAAATCCTTCAGAGCATGATAGATCAGATGAGGGATATGAGAGTAAAAATAGATAGCGCTGGATCCTAACCGTAACGATGATCAAGAGTTTTCCCGGAAACCAAACGGTTTTCTTGAAACGAATTTTCAAAAAATGGAGAGAGAGAGAGAGTTGATCTTGGAGGGAACGAGGGTAGTATAGGAAGATATTTGTTTGTTTTACATTTCGAGGTGATTTTTTCAAATTCAATTTTTTATTGTACTTCTTATTCAAAGCTATGAAACTTTGAAAACGTTTTTATTAGTGAAACCTTTTTTTTTTGGGAAATTTGCCAAAAGAGGACCGAAAAACACAACTATTGTCCCCTTAGAATGAAAATCTAAATCATTGTCCCTATAGTATAAACATTAATGAAAATCCAATTTAGTCCTTACTAATTAATTAGAAATATAATTACAAATTGTTTAAAATAAAATATATTAAATTAACATTTTCTCGTTTATTAGGTTAAATTAAATGAAAGGAGAAGAAATAAAAAGAAGAACGCTGCATCTCCTCCGACTCTTCTATCTCATCAAATATTAAGCAGCCTGAGAATGGTAGTAGACCAGAGGGTTTCAAGATTGCAATCAAGCCTAGATCCAAGAGTCTCTGGAAACGGAGGCAACAGGTCAGGAGTACAGCAGAATCTTCTGAGAAGTGTTGAGGAGAGAAAGAAGAGTATGATAAGGCCCGTGCTCGGATCTTTAACCGTCCTAGTATTTTTGACTCTGAAGATTCTTCATCACTACGAGCTCCTCCTCCTCCTATTGAAGGTATAAACCGATATGAGACTGAGGCGGCGATTAGTAATAGTTCTGTTGATGCTTGTTCTCCGATTTCTAGAATAGCCATTATCAGAGATAGAGAGAAATATCGATATGATCCGGATTGCGACAGGAGCTATGACAGACATGTCGTGGAATGTCGTGGATCCTGCCTACATGTAAACCTTCTTGAACTGCTGATATTCAAGAAACATAATATTGCTGTGATTTTAATGTCTTTGTTATTTTGGTGATGTTTGTAGGTACTTTAGGGTTATGCCATCTGGCCAAAGCTTCCTCTCCGGCTACCCTCTTGAAGGTACTATAAAAACCTTCCTGTCTTTAAAACTCTTGAAAGATTCTGGGAGTGTGCTAATGGTTCTTTTGTATTTTTGAAACCTCCTTTATAATCGAGTGATATTATTAAACTTATAGGATTCGACGAAAGTGATGAAGAAGTTTATTGAGAAGAATCCGGACACGCTCAACTTCAATGTGATAGCCATCTCTAAGAGAACCTGATGTTTTTCTTCTAGAAGCAAAGACCAGTAGTCTTGTTTAGAGTTTATGACTTAACTATCCACGCAGATTTTATATATATATATATATGTTTTACTGCATTCTGAATCTTCTTTTTTTTTTCTCTGAAAAATCTTAGAATTTATGATCATGGTTTTAAGAGTGCATTGCTTGCCTTACCGAAACATATAACACAGTACGATGTATGGACTCGTATTGAATCTTATTGAGATAGTCCCATACGTTTCCAACATAAGGAGCCAGCAAACTGTATAAGTTTATTTAAATGGATTCAGATTGCATCAGTGCAGTATAAAATATCGAGAATAAGCTATTTGTTTCATCTTGTTATTAGTTGCAGTGATGCAAAGCTAGAAGACGATGTAAATAGAAGAAGAATTACCTTGAAGCAATGTAATGACATGATAATCTTTGCTTATCAACTTAAACACAAGAATTTACAAAGCAATGCAACCAAATCTTCTCACAGACACTTGTAAAAGAAACAAAAGTTGGAATGTGAAGAGAGCAGCACTTGTGAGAGTGAGATCGTATGGATGTGTTGGGCTTATCTCTTTGTTGCAATCCCAAAATCACATAGTACAAACCAACATTGCTGAGATTACTATTGTACAAACCACTATGCCCAATCTCGATTATGTTTAAATTAATATATACGATAGAGACACTCTTTCTAACAAATAATAATATTGTGGCGGGTAGCTTTCTGTTAGATTATCGTGTTTAGTCGTATGTTTATATCAGTTTGTGTGATGATTTAGTAGTTAATTAAAAAAGAAGAAGAAGACCCACGTTTAAGGCAAAATATATTAAAAAAGGAAATAAAAATATATAGAGAATATTTACTTTCAGTTTTGCTAGATTTTCGGATGGTGGCTCATAAACCGTTGGTAGAAGATAGATTCTACCAAATTTTCCATTAGTTTAACCAGTGGAAACGTAATCCCACGGGCCTAGACAAAACATTAAAATTAAGAAGATATGTTCTGCCAAGGTAGACGCATGGGTCTTCATTATATGTTATGTTCTACTAAAACTGCATAACAAAGAAGGAATGTCAGTTATCATATTCTTCAATCGTAGATGTATATGTTTTTGGTGTATTACGCATTCTAAGCCCTTTAGATGGATTAGTTGTTAGTAGATTGTACACTCTAAACAACCGTAGATGGTAGATTTGATTTACTACCCGATTTATCCAATTTTTGAAATTAATATTCCAAACATTTTTCGAATCTAAAAATATTTTTCATATATTCACATGCTATTCTATTTCATATTGTATTTTTTTCCTCAATTTTTTACTTTGTAAATTTTTTACTTTGAATTTTTATATACAAAAAGGGTAGTGAAGGTCCAAAAATGCCAAAATTTGATTTTATTCTAAGGGGACAATAGTTGTGTTTTTCGGTCCTCTTTTGGCAAATTTCCCTTTTTTTTTTGGGCTCAGACTTCATATTTTCCATTAACCAAGATCAATATTTACACATAATAATGTTTATTATCATCCACAAAAAGAGTTTTTCCAATTTGGCACAACAGATGAACAGAGTATTAAGTAGGAGCATTTATTTTATTAGCAATTCTTTCCGCCACTCTATTACATCCCCTACCTTGAAAATCCACCACCTTGTGATCTCCTATCTTTGAGAGCAAACATGAGACCTGTATCTTGGATGTGAGCATGGATCATACGCCAACCTACCTCTTCCTGTGAAGCCTCAACAAGATCTTTGTAGTCATATTCAAAATAACATTCCCATAGTTAAACCTTACCACCATCGAGATATAGCATTTTCCCTTGTTTCGATAGTGAGACACTTAATATGGCATATTCTTATATTAGAAAAAAAACATTTCATGTGAAATATGTCGAAATAAATGAAATGTATATCACTTGAAATATTAATGTATTATAAATAAAAACAAATTATATATTGCCAACGTGTATAATGATAGACTTGTTGGGCTGATTCAATCAGTTTCTTACCAAGATTTAGCTTGAGAGAGAGAGAGAGATATTTAAGCCTTTCAATTGGTAAAAAAAGTGAATGCTGTGATATACAGGTTCCAACCATGTATACTCGGTTGATACAAGGTTATGAAGCAATGGCCTAATGGTAAGTAACCAAACATCTGAGAAGCGCAAATCCAGCTTAGTTACTTCTATCATTCATATATCCTTAGTGCATAAATGTTTGCTGATGAAGTACAGATGTCTGGCTCCTCTGCTCTTCCTAGACCGGTCATGCATCAGTGGGAAAGTATCACAGGTCACCGTCTTTTGGAACGTTATGGCATGACTGAGGTAAGCCTTTTCCTGTCTAATTTAGGTATCTTTATGCCATTGTTCTTAGTAGTCCAATCTGATTAATTTTGATTTAAATTTTATAGTTTGTAATGGCAATATCAAACCCCTTAAGTGGTGCAAGGAAGGCAGGTACCGTGGGGAAACCACTTCCCGGTGTTGAGGTCAGTAATATCTTATAACTAATGTCACACAGCTAAGGTACTAATGTTTCAGATACAAAGCTATGAAACTGAAAAAAAGAAGTGTGTAAACAAACATTATAGGCTCAGATCGAACATGATGAAAACAATACTGATGGAGTAGGTGAGATCTGTATAAAGAGCCCATCGTTATTCAAGGAGTACTGGAATCTTCCACAAGTGACTAAAGAATCGTTCACTGAAGATTGGATACTTCAAGACCGGGAATGTTGGTAGAGTAGAAAGGATGGACATTACGTAATTCTAGGACGTAAGCAGAAACATTCAAACACAATCCATGAGTGCTTTGTGTTTGTTTCTCTATGGGAATATTCTCTTATCTGGTGTTGGATCAGGTACGAGCGCTGATATTATGAAGGTTGGAGGATACAAGTTATCTGCCTTGGAAATAGAATCAACGCTACTCGAGGTAACATTCATCACCCATTTTAGCTTTTTGATTAATCATAACTTGAAATCAAAATCTATGGGGATGTGTGTTATTATGCAGCACCCAACGGTTGCAGAATGTTGAGAGTTGGGGTGACCTTAGAAGAACTTTGCGGATGGGCTAAAGACAAGCTTGCTCCGTACAAGGTAGTCTCTATAAAACAACTGGCCAGGCGATGTAGTAACATACCCACTAGTCTGTTTTTTTTTTTATAGTCTGTTAAAGTATTCACCATCATTTAACATCTACATCCAAAACAGAAAAAGAATTCACCTTCTTGCCCATAACTTTTTCTTTTCTTTTCAACTACCAACACGTTTGTTGATATGGGAAAGCTTGCCTTGCAGTCACAACGCCATGGGAAAGGTAACTAACAAGTCTTTTAAAATGGTGTTATCATATAATTAAATAATATAATATATTAATTTCATAAATAATCTATTAAAACTCATTTTTCCACTTCATAATTTGTTTTTGTTTTTTTGTTAACGATAACTCATATTTATGATTTTATGTTTTTTTTTTTTAATTTCACAACTTTATTGATTAGTAATATACTTGCGGAATCACATTTAAATCTGCAAAGTCACTAATCATGACCTGAAAGAGATGGTTGTTTAGTGTAAATAAGAATCATTCTGATACCTATTGAGTTGCAGGAAAACAAGAAAGAACTAAAGAAATCTCTGGATCATCAGGAGCAGATTATTCTCAGACAACCATGGATCTCTTTATCTGCTTCTTTGTTCTTTGATTGTAATAGAACACTTGCATCAAAAATAAATAAATAAATTTATATATTATATTGTTGACTTAAACAACGTCAGTAATCGAAAGACCACACTGTTTGAAAATAAATCTTAGTTTATTTATATGACTATGTACTTTGCTCATGGTCATGAAAAACAAAGTGTTAAAAAGGATTAGCGTTGACTAATAATGTCTTTTGATGGCGACATTGCGACCGTTTAGTTTAAATAGTTAGCGTTGGCCAATCACAAACACAATAACGCCAAAGGATATAAATGGTAATTAATAATTAGTAATCTGCTCTTATATTCAACAGAGAAGTTCTTTATCCTCAAGATCGAACATGGAAGACTCAACAATCCTAAACACGACGACGTATCTAGAAGCGTTAGCGCAAGGGAACGGTTTAAGCGAGATAGAGGTTTTAATCTTACAAGGCTTAGAACTCATCCATGTCGGAAAAGGAATCATACGATGTAAACTACTCGTTACGGATCGTGTCGTGGTAAATAAAAGATTTTTTGATCCTTTTTTGTTTTGTTAATTGGTGAATTTTAATAAATGAATGAAGAGATGATGATCATGTGATTCTCAGGGAGATGATGGAACTTGGCACGCCGGAGTGATTACGGCGGTGATGGATGCGATTGGTGCTGCTTCTGTCTACTCCACCGGCGACGGACTCCATTCCTCTGTTGATCTCAACGCTTCGTTTTATTCAACGGCCAAGATTCATGTTCGTGTACTCTATCCTTTGTTTCTCACGTGTTATTAATTAACATTGCTGCATGGTAAATAGTAGATTAGATAAGATGAAACATGTAAGTTAGTAATTACATTTATCTTTTAAGTTAGTATGATAAATTACTAACTTACAAGATAAATGTGAATTGGTTCGTTTATAATGACTTTTACTAACCAAAGAAAAGTCAGTTTATGGTTATGGTTATGACAACAATCATTTTTGTTATGTCCTTTATAGCACGTGCTCTAAAACTATAGTATTTAATTAAAATAAAAATAGTTATAGATTTTTTTTGATCAAAAAAAAAAAAAAATATAGTTATAGATAAGATTAAATTTGCAGGAAAAAGTAGAGGTAGAAGCAAGAGTGAAGGGGACCAATGGAAGGCTAAAATCATCTGTGATTGAAATTAGAAGAGAAAGAGATGGAGAACTCATAGCCACAGGAAGGTTGTGGATGGCTCCACTCAGTCTCAAAGTCAAACACACTGC